CGAAAGGTGAAGGGCATGGTATGGATCAAGATATGGGTGGAGAGAAGGAAGCAGAGAATAATTAATACAGTCCATCTCCCTTTTGCTTCCACTCTTGACTTTTTAGTGGATGAAGAACTTCTGGTCCCATCATGGAGTCATCAGCCACAGTATCATTGTTGAGTGATGTCAGCTTTTCCATACTTCCTATTGGAACCTAAACTGTAATGTTAGCCACCTTTAGCATTCTTCTTAAAATGGAAGAAGGAAAAGGAGAAAACAATTAATTAACTTAAAACTAGCTTCTATTGTGCTCTGAAGCTGGTCACAAGACCTAAATTGATAATAATAGCTTCCCTGTTTTACCACTCATTCCCTTACCCGCTACTACAGAATTCTTTTTGTTTTAAATTTCAGTATAATTGACAATGAATGTTACATTAGTTTTAAGTGTACAACATAGTGATTCAACTTCTGTATATGTTATTGTATGTTCACCACAAGTGTAGCTATCATCTATCACTATATGATGTTATTACACTATCACTGATTGTATTCTTTATACTATAACTTTTATTCCCATGACTTATTCCTTACCTGGAAGCCTATGTCTCCCAGTCCCCTCCACCATTTGGCCCACCTCCCCTATCCCTGTCTTCTCTGGCAACTATTAGTTTGTTCTCTATATTTATAGGTCTAATTCTACTTTTTTGTTTGTTTAGTCATGTGTTTTCTTTAGATTATACACTAGAGTGAAATCATAATATATTTGTCTTTCTCTGTCTGACTTTTATCACTTAGCATGATATCCTCTAAGTCCACCCATGCTGTTGCAAATGGCATGATCTAATCCTTTTTAAGGCTGTATAGTATTCCTCTGTGTGTGCGTGTGTGTGTGTGTGTGTGTGTGTGTGTGTGTGCGCGCACGCATATACATACCTGTCAGAACGGCTGAAATAAAAAACATAAGAAATAACAAGTGTGGGAGAGGATGTGGGAAACAAAGTTACCCTCATACACTGTTGATGGGAATGAACAGAATTCTTTACCTACTAAGTTACCCAAAACTTCTTTCCAAAAAAAATCTGCATCCTTGATATTTCTAATTTTATTAAGCTATTGCTGTTTTTCATTGATTAGTGCTTTGAGCTGGGAATTGTAAATTTTACATCTATCCCTTACATCCCCTCTCCAGAGCAGCCAGAAGTGTCCAATCTATCTCACAATTTATCTCATTGTTGCTGTAGCAACTAAGTGCCACAAATATTTGATCTCTCACTATTTAATCCTCTCCCTGGACTCTATCACATGCTACCTTCAATGATAATTTGAGTAATGTGATATTAACGTGTGATACACTATATGCCATTTCCCCCCACAAAGGAAGTTATCCATACTCTCAGCTATGTGAGCATTGTAATCCTAGAATGCTTCTTTCAGGACCTGCTTCCTGAGGTTACTTCTCAAAAAAGTCTCAGCAGAGTCTCAGCAGAAACATGATAATTCACTCAGAGAGTCACTTGGTATCTTTTTCTTCCCATACTCCAGACTTTGGCCAACCTAACACAGCAAGAAACCTTAAACTCTGGGGGTGCAATCCATAAAAGTCACAGACCAAGTGAGCCTCCTGGGATGCATAGCAAGCCAGAGAAACCTGGAGAATGGGTGTGTTGGAATAGTCAGATAATAACCACACATTTTTTAAAAAGTAACTTATAAAACTTAAGGCTGAGAAGACTTTTAAATCTTCTTTACAGAGGAAAAATATCAGTATTTGTCTCTTAAAATCAATTATTATAAAAGACAACATTAACATGTGTATGGAAGATGCTCTCTGTTCTAGAGGCCTGAGGCCCCACTAATCTAAACCCACTTTTTTTTTTTAATTTTTTAAGTTTATTTATTTATTTTGAGAGAGAGACAGAAATAGAGAGAGGGGGAAGGGCAGAGAGAGAGAGAGGGAGAAAGAGAATCCCAAGTGGCTCTGTGTTATCAGCAGAGAGCCCAACGTGGGGCTCAAACCCATGGACCGTGAGATCATGACCTGAGCTGAAACCAAGAGTCAGATGCTTAACTGACTGACCCCTCAGGAGCTGCTAAATTCACTTTTTAATGGGAATATTACTCAGCAAATGCCAACATGACTTATAATTATTTCACTTTGATTATATTTTCCCTTTGAGGTTTAATGAGTTTGAATAATTTGCTGGTGCAATTTTGTTAAAATGGAATTTATCTGTTTTAGAAAATAATTTATTAAATATTATATTTGCTATAATTACAACTAGAAATATTCCTTCAACCATACTATACGTGTTTGCCAATGTTATTTAGAGCAAACAAAATTACCACCAGAGAAAACGTGTTTTTTAAATTTCTCATCACCCTGCAGGGATGGCTTTATTCTCATCCAGTTATAACCATTTCACGGAGCCAAAAACCAGTTTGAGGAAGAGTGAGCAAACAATTTCATTTCCTGCATGTCCTTATCTCAGCCTCTCACCAGCAACACTCCACAACTTTCCATTTTGGGTGAAGGAGCAGAAGCAAGAAAGAGGTGGCTTGTGTTCAGGCTGCTGTTATTTTTGCAAAGATAAATTTATTTCAACATACGTACATCTTAAATGACTATTATGGTTGTTATTAGCTCAGTAAATGATAAGATGAAACTGAAGAAATGCAATTTCCTCTTTCCCTACTTCATTATGATCACCGAATTTGTCCAGGGTCTGTTTCACTGAAGCTTGACCATTAATATTTACACCACTTTACGGCTTGTGCCGTGAACACATCTTACTGTTTTTATTGATAATGTATTAGCTTGCTTGCTAGCATTTCCATAACAAACTATCATAGACTGCGTGGTTTAAACAGAAACTTTATTTGCTTACAATTCTAGAGGCTACGAGTCCAAGATCAAAATGTCAACAGATCTGATTTCTTCTGAGGCCTCACTCTGTGACTTGTAGATGGCCAACTTCTCACTGTATTCCCACATGGCCTTTCTTTGGTACATTGCTGGTGTCTGTATGTACTAATCTCCTCTTTTCACTAGGCCACCAGTTAAAGCGGATTAGGTCTCACCTAAAGGCCTCATTACATAATCGTATCTTTTTTCTTTAATGTTTATTTATTTACTTTGAGAGACAAAGAGAGTGGGGGAGGGGCAGAGAGACAGGAAGAGAGAGAAATCTCTCCAAAAGGAGCCAATACAAGAGAAACCCATATGGGTTTGATATAGGAAGAATAAGAGAGTGTCTGAAGAAGTTTCCAAACCAAAGCACAGGCAGTTGAAGAGAGTCTTCAATTCTCATGACCGTCAGCATGGCTGTGCCTGGAGCACACCAAAAGCAGAAGAGTGTGTAGTCACGAAAAGGAAGGCTCATGTTGATGAAAAAAATAGCATAGAGGTGGAATCAACAGAACTTTGAAGGTGCCTGGAAACCAGGGGGAGACAAGGAGAGACACAGTAGAATTGAAAACGATTAAATAGGAGGACAGTGGCTAATACAGTAGGTACAGTTGAAGAGTTGTGTTAGAAAATCCAAATACAGTGTTCCATCAAGATACATGCCTGACAATACACACTAGGAACTGGGAAATTCAAGACTAGAGTCAGAAAACTTTAGGCTATAGATCTGGATTTGGCATGTGTATGCACAGATAACACAAACCAGGAGTTGGTGAGGATACTGAGAGCAAAGAAAAATTTGAGAGTTGAGGACACAAACTCTTCTGAAACCCTTCTAGACTGATGATTCCGTTTCCTTCTTTTAAGGCTGAATAATATTCGTGTGTGCGCGTGTGTATGTGTGTGTGACATTGTCTTCACCCATTGATTTGTTGGTGAAGATTCAGGTTGTTTCCATCTCTTGGCTATTACAAAAAATGCTATAATACACATGAGAGTGCCAGTATCCCTTTGAAATTCTCTTTTCATTTCTTTTGGATAAATGCCCAGACATGAGATTGCTAGATCATATGGTGATACTGCTTATTATTTTTTGAGGAACATGCACACTGTTTTCCATAGAAGATCCACTATTTTACATTCTCATGAACAGTGTAGAAGAGTTCCAATTTCTTCACATCCTCTCAAACACTTTTTTTATTTAGGATTTTGTTTGTTTGTTTGTTTGTTTGTTTTAATGGTCATTCTAACAGGTGAGGTGAGATGGTATCTCATTATGGGTTTGATTTATATTTCTCTGATAATTAGTGATGTTGAACTTTTCATGTACCTGTTGACCATTATATCTCTTCTTTGGAGAAATGTCTCTTCAAGTACTTTGCCCATTTTTAAATTGGGTTATTTGCTTATTTGCTCTTGAATTATAGGAATTCCTTATATATTTTGGATACTAACCTTTTAACAGATATATGGTTTGCAAATATTTTCTCCCTCTCCACAGTTTCTTTTCACTCAGTTTCCTTTTTTGTGCAGAAGCTTTTTAGTTTGATGTAGTCCCATATATATATTTTTTTCTTTTGTTCTCTGTGATTTTGACATCATATCCAAAAAGTGTTACCAAGTCCAGTGTTATAAAGCTTTTTCTCTATTTTTCTTATAGAAGTTTTATAGTTTTCTTTTAGAAGTTATTTTGGTTATTTGGAGTCCTTTGTTATTTCATATGAATTTTATAGCTTTTTTCTATTTCTATAAAAATGTCATTAGGGTTTTGATACAAATGATATTGAATCTGTAAAGTGCTTAGAGTAGTATGAAAATTTTAACAGTAGCCTTGGAACACTTCTGAACTCATTTTGTGAGGCCAGCATTACGTTGATATTAAAACTAGATGAAGATACTAGAAGAAAATTATAGGCCAATAGCTCTTGTGAATATTGATGCAAAAGTCCTCAACAAAATACTAGCAATTGGAATCTAACAATACATTAAAAGGATCAGACATCATGATCAAATGGAATTTTTATGAGGAAATCAAGCATGGTTCCAACATTGGAAATCAAACTGATACATCACATTAACAGAACAAAGGGTAAAAATTATATGGATAATTTAAATTTATTTATTTATTTAGAAAGCTGATTTATCAGAACACGACTGCCCATTCCTGTACTGTATCTTTCTTCCTGGATTTAAACCTAAGTTTACTAACTTTTGACTGACAGCAAGATAGCCACATAATGTCTTCTCTATTTTGCATTATCAGGTATATTTTGTTTGATCACATTTTAAGTAAGTGTTGAAATCTGGATTTGTTAAGAGATCTTAATATGGATTCAGAGATATAGGTATGTATATGCTTTTTTTCTCCTCTGTTTTAAGTACATTTTCATGTAGGCTTTTTAAAAAGCCTAATATTAAAAGTTAGCATCGGTCAAGGGAACCCAAGGCAAAAGCTAAGCAAACTCAAAAAATGATGAAATTACAAATACACATAAGGATTTGTTGATATGAAGTGGAAAACAGTGAAGCAATTCTCTCCCATGCAATAGCAGCCTGTTTTGTACCTTGAACAAAAGGAACAAAAATTAATCGTTCACACACTTTTACTAACATTTCAAAGCCAAGGTCCAAATATATTGAATACTGCCACTTATAAGCATTTCTGTGGCTCTTACAAAGCATCACACTGACTAAACTCTATCTACAAAAAAAGAAGAAGAGGAGTATTAAGTGCTGCACTGTAATGCACAATGTTTCAAAAGCATTATTCATGTCTCTGGTATTTATTTTAAAAGACTCCTTTTTTCAATTCAATGAGAAAATGCAGTCAAATAGATTGATTTTGAAAGACCACTAGTTTCAAAACCTTGGAAATTTTTATTGCCTTCTTGATACTGAAAGTCTTTATTTTTTCAAAAACCTAGCCCAGGCAGAGAATGATGAACATTTAGAACTAATAAAATTTCTCATAAGTTAGCTACTCATAGGCATTGACCTTTATTATTCTTAGGTACATAGCAATAGAAGCAAATGACTCTATTTATACTCATTATATGATGTGCTACTTCATATAACCATGAATTTCCCACTCCTCAGGGGTAAAACACTGGATCGCCCTGAGCAATCCAATGTAATTCCTTCTATAAATTCAACCTAGAGAAATCACTGAAGACTAATAGAAATTTATGAAATAAATAGCCCAAGATAAAATAAATAGGCTGTAAGACTTACCCGATCCAAAATTGCGAAGTTCTGGATAATCTTCTCCACCCTTTTCTTCCTCCTCCTCTGTCGTCTCCAGGCACACATTTATCTAAAATGAATGAAGCTTTTTTTATTTTAGCCACTCTGACAGGTTTAAGGTGATATCTCATTGTGGTTTTGATTTATATTTCCCTGATGATGAATGATGTTGAGCATATTTTCATGTGTCTGTTGGCCATCTGTATGTCTTCATTGGAGAATGGCTAAAGTAAAAAAAAGACAAGGGGCGCCTGGGTGGCTTAGTCGGTTAAGCATCTGACTTCAGCTCAGGTCATGATCTCACGATTCGTGGGTTCAAGCCCTCCATCGGGCTCTGTGCTGACAGCTCAGAGCCTGGAGCCTGCTTCAGATTCTGTGTCTCCCTGTCTCTCTGACCCTCCCCTGCTCACGCTGTCTCCTTCTCTCTCTCAGAAATAAAGAAAACATTAAAAAAAATTTTTAATAAAAAAGGACAAGAAAAAACGAATGTTGGTGAAAATGTGGAAAAAAAGTAACACTCACATACTGTTGATGGTAATGTAAATTGATATAGCCACTATGGAAAACAGTAAAGAGGTTCCCTCAAAAAATTAAAAATTGAAATAACAGCCCAGAAATAAGCCCACAATTATATGGTCAGTTAATCTTCAACAAAGGAGGCAAGAATATGCAATGGGAAAAAAACAGTCTCTTCAACAAATAGTATTGGGAAAATTAGACAGCTACATGCAAAAGAATGAAAATGGACCACTTTCTTACACCATACACACAAAAAATAAGCTCAAAATGGATTAAGGACCTAAATGTGAAACTTGAAATCATAAAAATCCTAGAAGAGAGCACAGACAGTAATTTCTTTGACATTGGTTATAGCAACATATGTCTAGATAGGTCCCCTGAGACAAGGGAAGCAAAAGCAAAATTTAACTATTAGGACTACATCAAAATAAAAAGCTTCTGAACAAAGCAAAGGAAACAATCATCAAAACTAAAAGGTTATCTACTGAACGGGAAAAGATATTTGTAAATGACATATCTGATAAAGAGTTATTATCCAAAATATATAAAAAATTGATATGACTCAATACCCAAAACACAAATAATTCAATTATAAAATGGGCAGAAGACATGAACAGACATTTCTCCAAAGAAGATAAATGATATTGTACATCTGAGACTAGTATGACACTGTAGTTAACTATACTGGAATTACAAGTTTTTTAAGTTTCAGGCACTTGGGTGGCCAGTTGGTTGAGCATCTGACTTTGGCTCAGGTCACGATATCACAGTTCATGAATTCAAGCCTCACATCAGGTTCTCTGCTGTTAGCACAGAGTGAGCTTTGGATCTTCTGTCTCCCCTTCTCTGCCCCTCCCCTACTTACTCTTTCTCAAAAATAACTAAAAATAAATAAATAAATAAATAAATAAATAAATAATTTTAAAGTTTTAAATAAAATTAGTGTAAAAAGTAATCAAACAATAAAAATGAAAATAAAAATACCATATTAATAAATAAAAATGAAAATAAAAATAGAATATTATCTAATAATTCCACCACTGGGTACTTATCCAAAGAAAATAAAAACATTAATTCAAAAAGATATATGCACCCCTATGTTTACTGCAGCATTATTTACAATAGCCAAGATATGGAAGCAATTTAAATATCCATTGATAGGCAAATGGATAAGGAAGATGGAGGAGACATACATATATAATAAAATATATATGGAATGGAATAGGAGATATATATATATACAGAGAGAGAGATAGTTATAGATATAATGGAATATTACACAGCCATAAAAAAGGATAAGATCATTCCATTTGCAACAACATGGATGAATTTAGAAAATATTATACTAAGTGAAATAAGTCATACTGAGAAAGACAAATCCCATATGACTTCACTCACATGGCACTTAGCAAATTAATAAACAAACAAAAAGCAGAATCAGACCTATAAAAACAGAGAACAAACTGATAATTGCCAGAGGCGTGGGGGAATGGGCCAAATGACTAAAGGGGAGTAGGAAATACAGGCTTTCAGCTATAGAATGAATAAGTCATGGAAATAAGGGGTACAGCATAGGGAATATAATTGATGATACTGTAATAGCAATGTATAGGGACAGATAATAACTATACCTGTGGTAAACATAGCCATAATGTATAAACTTGTCCAATTACTATGTTGTACACCTGAAACTAATGTGACATCATGTGTCAACTGTACTCAAATAAATAAATAAATAAAGTGAAAGATGCTTAAGCCTCAGGGTCTCTCTCTTATATCAACCATCTTCAAAGTCTGGGAACATTCCTGTGATGGTCAAGGTTTTTTGACAACTTGGCTAGGATACAATCCCCAATAATTCAATGAAACACTAATCTAGGTATTGCTGTGAAAATATTCTATAGATGTGGTTAAAGTCCATAATCAGTTGACTTTAAGTAGGCTTGATTTTAAGAGCTAAGCTGAGACATTCCTGATGAAGCAGAAATTATAGGGGCGCCTGGGTGGCTCAGTCAGCTAAGCATCAGACTTCGGGTAAGTCATGCTCTCACCACTTATTCCTGTCTCCCTCTCTCTCTCTGCCCTTCCCCAGCTCGTGCTTTCTTTGTGTCTCAAAAATAAATAAAACATCAAAAAATTTAAAAGAAATTTTACCTCTACAGCATGTCTGAAAGTTTCCATCATCCCTGAAAGTTTCAGCCTGCCCTAACGATGTCAGACTACTACAACCGTATAAATTGATCTTTGCAATCAGTCTCTTGCTATATATCCCCTACTAGTTGTTTCTATGGATGAACCCTGATTGATACAGGCCGTAATGTGTGCATATGTTTTTTTAATACAAAAGTAAGATATATTAATTCCAGTGGATTGCAGCCATGACCTCTTTCCACTCTGACCTGTGCTCTGCCACACTGGTGAAGCAGCGCTGCGGTGGCCACAGGCATTGGGGAGATCTTGCTAAGGGGAAACTGAGCTGGAGATATATTTAGTTTGAGGTTAGCCAATATATTTATGATGCAGTCACTTCCATGAATAGTTATATCTAGCTATTGCAACATAGAAACACCTCCCTAAAGATGTTCCTAAAATGTTCACGTGCAAATACATCTGGAGCCCGACGGAAAGGTTTGCCTTGTATCAGGATGCGAACATGTGCCACAGCATCTGGGACCGGATCTATGTGGATAGCAGAGAGTTTGAAAGGTTGAAATGTGTCGAGCCAGAGGCCAGTGAGTGGAAAATCCTTCCAACAGTGAGATGTGTAAAATTTAAGCAAAGGAGATGAGTCCCAATGACACCTTATGTAAATGGAAGCTTTCTGCCACGAAGAACACATTCAATAACATGCTTACGTACACGAAAATGCACTGCATGATTTTTCTTTTCTGATGCCAAGTGCTTAAAATAAAATTAAAATCCTTCGGATTTTAGAGGACAAACTTACAGCAGTACTGCAGATATCACTTGTGTTGAGCCTTTCAACAGTCAAGGAAAAACAAATTTCAAATAACCACATTAGATGAAATACTGAACTATCTTTCCATTCTCTTCATACCAAATGTCATTTCATATGAAGTGATTACAAAGTAAGAAATACAGACCAAAAAAGCATGAGCAAAGTGTGTCAGATAGTTTTTCTTGATTTTTCTTGATTTTGTGGCAATTACCACCTTTTCAAAAACATGTAACTTGTGATTTCTTTTCTCATTCTAAATATTCACTTTTGTATTTAATTGCGCATTTATGATTTTGTCTTATGTTGCTTAAAGAGGGCCCCTCAAACTGTATAAGCTTCAGACCTCACAAAACCGGGGTCTGGCCAATCCACCTCCAAATATTTGTCATTGGTCTATTTTGGTGTCCTTCAACATTTCCCCCACTTTATACTGCTACTTAGAGCTTCCCACTGAGAACACACTTTGCCTCCTTAATTCCCATTTCCTTTTCCTTCCCCAAACAGGAAGGAGTTGTCAATGTTCATGCCACTGTCAGAACTCTCTTGGCACAAAAAGTATAGGATTGGAAGGGTAGAAAAGATGGTTATAAAGGAGAGTCATGCAGTCAGGTGGTCAAGCATCGGATAGTGTGTGGACTCAATCCCGTGAAAGGCTTTTCCATACTTGAGATTTCAACAATTATAAGAATTTGTTCTTTTTTTAAAAATTAAAAAGAATGTATTTATTTTTGAGAGAGACAGAGTGTGAGTGGGGGAGGGGCAGAGAGAGAGGTAAACACAGAATCTAAAACAGGTTCCAAGCCCTGAGCTGCCAGAACAGAGCCCAAAGCAGGGCTCAAGCTCGCAAAGGGTAAGTTCATGACCTAAGCCGAAGCTGGTTGCTTAACTACTGACCCACCCAGGCGCCTCGACCTGTTCTTTATTTTAATATGCATTTGCTTAGGGTTTTCTTCTCTGTTAAGAACTATAAAACAGCTTGAGCTAAAGGTTTAAAAATGAATGTGCTTCAAGGTATGTTATTCTAACATAACATGGAAAACAGCTCACATTAGGATACAGAGATGTGCCCTTAATGCAGTATTATGAGATTCTTCTAAGAAAAAATTTCCTTTGGGTAAATGGCACTTGGATAGAAGGACACAAAAGCATTAAAACTGATAGTAGTGAGTTTCACTTTAAAAAAAAAAAAAAAGCAGAAAAGGGGCTCCTGGGTGATTCAGTCGGTTGCACATTGGACTCTTGATTTTGGCTCAGGTCATGATCCCAAAGTTGTGGGATTGAGCCCCGCATACGGCTCTGTGCTGAGCTTGGAGCCTGCTTGAGATTCTCTCTCTCTCTCTCTCTCTCTCTCTCTCTCTCTCTCTCTCTCTCTCTCTCCATCTGTCTCTCTCTCCAAAAATAAAATAAATCTTTTTTAAAAAGTTAAAAATAAAAAAAAAAACAGAAAACATTCTATGTAAAACTCTGAAATGATATATTCTCTACTTTTTTTAAAGTATGGTCTTAGGGGAGATGGTGTATTAACAGAGTATAGTAATGAGAAAGTCTAACCTGTTCCAGTATCATGGGATGGATCTTCACACAACAGTTGG